TCTGGAGCTAATACCAGCTACTCCAGGAGTCGCTATAAAACTATTGGAGAAGAACGGCTGATATGGAAATCTACTTCAAATCGACTTATTTTGAGAGAAAGAGAAGTTTTTAGAGGGAAAGAGATTCTTTTTTAGAGGGAAAGAGATTCTTTTTTTAGAGGGAAAGAGATTCTTTTTTAAAGAGAAAGAGATTCTTTTTTAGAGAGAAAGAGAGGGAGGTATTTTAACAAACTAGAAATAAAATGTACTTAATTAGCCTATATATACATGTAACTAAAAAGTCAATTCAGCTTCTACTTAAAAGTAAAACTACGAGACAAACAAATAATTTGTAATGATTCTGATCTACTTTTTTGAGAGATAGAGGTTCTTTTTAGAGAGAAAGAGAGAGGGAGAGAGAGAGAGGTGATTTAACTGACTAGAAAGTACTTGTAATCAGCCTATATATACATGTAAATGATGTAACTAAAACTCAGCTTATACTTGAATTTAAACTATGTTTTTATAGAATACAGAAAATTAACTTGAAATGATCCTGATCAATTTTTTGAGAGAAAGAGAGGTTCTTTTTTAGAGTGAAAGAGGTTATTTTTTAGAGAGAAAGGGAAGTATTGTAACAAACTAGAAATAAAATGTATGTTTAAAAAATTATACAACTATAACACTAACTTCTGAGCATTAAAATAAGCATCCCCCATTTTTAGTTTCAAATCATCAGCCTTTAAAATATTAGAGAGGTAGCATGGTGCACACTGGTTATGGTACAAGTGGATTAGTGAGAGCTAAGCGAGGTTTAACGAAGCTGTTTGCGGGCATGTGGGGCATTTAACATGTATTATCAAGCGTCACTCGACAACCGTTTCCTCACACCAGTGATTGCTGGTTCACTTGTTTCTGTGGCTAGTGTGTGCCTTGTTTACCTAGTGATGAGTTAATGCTAGTTGGTATGGTTGATACTGGTGGACTGGTGGGCACTGGTGGCATGAGGGCTGGTGAGTGCTGTAGTGTCTACCTGGGATTTAAGCCACGGCATATCACAACTGAACAAATTGCATATGATAGCATGACGTTCATAAGGTTAGATCTCCAAGCTTTTCCCTGTGTTAATCTACAAGTGCTCATCAGTTTCTTGTGTTATTGGTGTTTGCTATGTGTTGCCAGTGTTAGCTGTATTTGCTAGTATCCACTTGTCACTCTAGAACAGAGCATAATAATAAAACAATAATATTTGAATTTTAAACTGAAAATTAAAATTCAAAAACCTACATGTACAAGATTGTTCCGGTATCGTGGATTGTTCCGGTATTGTGGAGCGTGATTGCATACTGAAGCTGGTTCCAGAATAATTGAAGTGTGCTTGATACTAAAGCTGGTTCCAGTATGAATGAAGGAGTGTACTTGATACTAAAGCTGGTTCCAGTATGAATGAAGGAGCGTGCTTGATACTGAAGCTGGTTCCAGTATGAATGAAGGAGTGTACTTGATACTAAAGCTGGTTCCAGAATGAATGAAGGAGTGTACTTGATACTGAAGCTGGTTCCAGTATGAATGAAGGAGTGTACTTGATACTGAAGCTGGTTCCAGTATGAATGAAGGAGTGTACTTGATACTGAAGCTGGTTCCAGTATGAATGAAGGAGCGTACTTGATACTAAAGCTGGTTCCAGAATGAATGAAGGAGTGTACTTGATACTGAAGCTGGTTCCAGAATGAATGAAGGAGTGTACTTGATACTAAAGCTGGTTCCAGTATGAATGAAGGAGTGTACTTGATACTGAAGCTGGTTCCAGTATGAATGAAGGAGTGTACTTGATACTGAAGCTGGTTCCAGTATGAATGAGGGAGCGTACTTGATACTAAAGCTGGTTCCAGAATGAATGAAGGAGTGTACTTGATACTGAAGCTGGTTCCAGTATGAATGAAGGAGCGTACTTGATACTAAAGCTGGTTCCAGAATGAATGAAGGAGTGTACTTGATACTAAAGCTGGTTCCAGAATGAATGAAGGAGTGTACTTGATACTGAAGCTGGTTCCAGAATGAATGAAGGAGTGTACTTGATACTAAAGCTGGTTCCAGTATGAATGAAGGAGCGTGCTTGATACTAAAGCTGGTTCCAGTATGAATGAAGGAGTGTACTTGATACTAAAGCTGGTTCCAGTATGAATGAAGGAGCGTGCTTGATACTGAAGCTGGTTCCAGTATGAATGAAGGAGTGTACTTGATACTAAAGCTGGTTCCAGAATGAATGAAGGAGTGTACTTGATACTGAAGCTGGTTCCAGTATGAATGAAGGAGTGTACTTGATACTGAAGCTGGTTCCAGTATGAATGAAGGAGCGTGCTTGAAATTGAACATCATCATATATAATCTACACCTTCATTTGAGAGAAAGAGAAGTTTTTTAGAGGGAAAGAGATTTTTAGAGAGAAAGAGAGAGGGTATTTTAATTTTTATAGACATAAAATGTATTAATTTGAAGTACTTGTAATGAGCCTGTATATGCATTGTACATGTAACTAAAACTCAGCTTTTACTAAAACTTAAAACTTCAAGACAAAAAACTACTTGTAAACTCTTTTCAAGAGAAAGAGATTATTTGTAGAGAGAAAGAGATTATTTTTTGAGTGAAAGAGAGTGAGGTACATAACGTATTATAGCAAGCTATAAAAATGCCTAAAATAACTACCGTACAGAAGGAAATTTTGGAGGGACTAAATTTTGGCGAATTGCTAAATTTTGGTGATTGGCGAATTTTAATTTGGCGAATTTGTGGCCACGTGCCATTGAGCATGCGTATAATGGCTCAAAATGGCGAATGTTTATTTTGGCGAATGGCTATCAAAACGCCAAATTCGCCAAATTTAACTACCTCCAAAATTTCCTTCCATACGGTATTATAGCTAAAACAACACTTTTAAGTGTAGAATCTAGAAGTCACATTTGAGAGAAAGAGGTGCTTTTTTAGAGAGAAAATGAGAGAGGTATTGTGAGCCTATGTATGCATTGTGCATGTAACTAAAACTCAGCTTTCCATTTAAAATTTTCAATGATTAAATCTATTAACAATATCTGCATGACACTATCACCAGTCAATCAAATGTACTATAATTTTGTTCCTGTTTGAGGACTGGAGGAGAGACAGGGAGTTTAACTGAGAGATTTGTGTGATCACTATCATCAATCATCATCAATTTTTGAGAGAGAGAGAGAGGAAGGGGAAGCTTGGCAGAAGACTTCAACTTCTTTTTAATCTCATAATTCTCTTCTTATGGAGGCATCATTCATCATCTTGGGATAATTCTTCATGTCCTTGTCATGAGAGCTTGTCAAGAACATTTGGACTACTTCTACAAAAACAACACTAGCTGTAGTAACATCCAGTAACTATGCAACCTGTCTACTTATAGGAATCAACAGCTCTACACTATAGCACTCTTCAATCAACCAATTCTTCATCTAATAACTGATTCGGTAGCTCTCAACCTGTCTGCTTCACCAGCTCTACACTACAACATTCTTGAATCATTTCCTCAAGCAATTCTTCAGTTTCCAGTTAACCTACTCTAACAATCAGTTCTTTATCTTCTGCTAGTGTTATTTACAAGAGAAGGAGCTACTGAATCATGATGAACTGAACTATTCTTCTCTCTTCTCCTCCTTTTCTATCTTTTCTTTATTCCTCTTTTCTTAATTCCCCTCTTATTTCTAATACTTCAATGCTACCTTTCCTCTTAAATAGTTAGTACTTGTACTCATAATTAATATTAGTACATGTAATTAAATACTTAAAGTACATGTAATTAACTAATAATAGTACATGTACACTTAAATACATATTAAATAGTATAGTACATGTACTTCAATATAATTATATTGCTGCTTCCTTCCTTTAGCTAGCTCCTGGGGCGGGTTGGGCCTATTGAAGACATTAGCCTTTAAGAGAGAGAGGGAGAGAGAGAGACAGCTACTTGATAGGAGTTTCAAAGAAGAACAAAGCCTGAAGACGAGAGCATCAAAGAGAGAGAGAGAGAGTGAGAGAGACAGGCAGGAGGAGCTGAGGGAAATCAGTATTGCTAATTCATGTGAGTTGGTTATTGAGAGAGGGAGGGAGGGGGGAATCGTGTTCAAGAGATTAACATGTTAACTTACTTTCTCCATTCAATTTTTAGGAGGACCTAAAGAATAGCAATAAAATTAAAATTCATGTAAGTGGGTTATTGGAGAGGGGAGGGAGGGAGGGAGTGTGTTTGGAAGATACACATATTGACTTTTTTCTTTGTTTGATTTTAGGAGCTATATAAAGGTAGTGGGTTTCAAGTCTTTCTGAAGTCTTTGATGTCCTTGTGAAAGTCCAAATCAAGTCACTGGAGGGCCCTCTTGTGTGTTGGAGTCTAATATTAATCTTTGGGGCATGGAGTATAAAGAAGATTTCAGAGCAAGTTGTTATTGTATCATTGATTATTGTAATGCTAGTTAGGATTGCCTGTAGCTAGTAATTGTGACTAATATCTAATCCTCTACTTAATTATATTATTGTCTGTAGCTGCATGAGTCCATGATATTGTTATTGGTGAATCCCTTACAGTGATTCTGTTAAGATCAATATGGTAGGAGGCAGGACTCCATAGATTATATGTGAATGGTATGGTATAATATATGGTATGGTATAATATGGTATGGTATGGTATAATATGGTATGGTAAAGAAGTTATAGGAACAATGTAACTAATGTGTAGCCAAATGTATGTGAATTCCTATTTAATTGTACATATTTTGTTTGGTTTTGTAACGGTCCTAAACATGACGTTAAACTGTTTCTAAGTTTAGGGTCCTAAACATGACGTTAAACTGTTTCTAAGTTTCGGGTCCTAAACATGACGCTAAACTGTTTCTTAAGTTTAGCTATTATTGGTGTGTTTGTATTATACTAATTGGTTGTCCCTTACTGATTCCGTATGTATGTACTTGTGCCCATGACTAGGGGACAGAGTCCCTTGATGTTTCACATTATTGTTTTTAATATGTTAGTGTCTGCATGTACACATATGCATGATAATATATTAATGTTTTTCTGTTTGTGTTGGTACACGTGTCCTCACGTAGCGTAAGATCGTAACGTCTCCTGGTCTCCAGTCTTACTGTCTCTTGACAATGTTTGTTCTTAATTAAATAATTATTCTTGATTAATATACATATTGTGTGGTAAATTGTGTATTAATATTATTCTTATTATGTTAAAGGTTGTAGAGGTTACCATATTAGACAGTAATGGTAGGAGGAGGTAGTAATAGGTCATTAGATAATGGTACAGTATTAAGATAACTTGTCTTACATTGTGTATACAATATAAGTTGTAGGTATAGGTAATATGGTATGGTATTAAGATAGGAATGTATTTGTATATAGCAAGGTTAATATGGTATAGGTATCATTGTGTCATATTAAGGTTCATAGGTTGATAAGTTAATGTAGGTATAAATATATTGGCATGGTATTATAAGATAAGAATGTACTTTTATAGCAAGGTTAATATGGTATACATGTACATGTAGGTATCATTGTGTAATTTAAAGGTCATAGGTATAGTAGGAGAAATTAGAAGGGTACAGGTTATATAGTGTAGGTATAGTAGTAGAAATTATAGATAACATGTAGTTATACCTAGGATATAGGCTATAGTGTAGAAATTAGAAGGTAGTTATAGGTATAGTGTAGGTATTGTAGTAGAAATTAGGAAGCAGGTATAGTTATCATTAGGTTATAGTATAGGTATTGTATAGTAGAAATAGAAAGTAGTTATAATAGAAATTAAGAAACAGGTAGTTGTGTAGGATACAGGTTATATAGTGTAGGGTATAGGTTATAGATCTAGGTTTTATTATTTTTTACTATTTTTTACAGCTACTATTTTAAAGACTATTAAAGAAGATATCTAATTTAAAAGAGTTACGTATCAATAATGTATGATTTAGCTCTATATATTTCCTACTAGATACTGTGTCACGTGACATGCATTATGAAGGATAAAGGATATCAAGTTTTGTATCCATTAGCATTGTCATAGTGACTCCTTTACATTTCTCACTAGGGATTGAAAGACTATAATGAGAAGATATAAGGCATAGTGTCAATGTATTCTTTGTATTAACCTTTCTTTGTTAGATTATTAAATAATGGAATCATTTTTTTGAAAGACTAACAATCAAATTTGTAAATATAGTATCAATAATGTCTTGTATTATTAACCTTTCTTTGTTAAGATAAATGTTTTTCAACAATGGACACCAAGACTATCAAGTTCCTGTTTAAAGATGAAAGATTTTAAAGTATAGTGTTAAGGTACATATTTTTTTAAATGAAGCACCAAGTTCCTATTTGAAAGACTCAAGATTTTACAGTATAGTATCAATAATGCCATTTAACCTTTCTCTTTGTTAAGATAAATATATTTTTAAAATGAACGCCAAGACTACCAAGCCTTAATTTGTTTGAAAGATGTGTTAAGGTAAATACTTTTAAGAATGGAACAACAAGTCCCTGTTTGAAAGACTCAAGATCATGTTACAGTATATCAATAGTGTCATGTATTAATCTTTCTCTTTGTTTATCAAGTTCCTGTTAAAGGTTGAAGTCCATTCAGTTAGTGTTAATATACATTGTTAACTATCATTACAGGTTGGGCAGCAATGTAGTGCAGCCTCCACGTGGCGCTGCCTGGGATCACTAGTGGCTACTACTGCTAGTGATGCTAAGAGCACTACACACAAGAAGAATATAACAAGACTGTACTAACAGTAACTAGTCACACTGAATCTTAATATTATTATCATTGATAGGTTCAAGTTGAAATAAAGATGAAATGTCAAGTCATGTAATACTAAAGAAACAAGAGATTTATGAAGACACAAACATTGTTGACACTTCCTCTTCATTTACTATTTAGATATTCATTCATTAATATTTTGCTAATTTTTTTAAACAATTACTTTACATTGTGATTGAATATAATAGCGATTTACATACAGAGCACCTGTTATTAGCTAATGCTATAATTATAGCCTAAATTAGCTAAAAGCAAATATATACATAAATGCATGGAATAAATGCAATTACTGATGAATAATGACATTACTATGGCATTAACATGAGGCTAGCTGACATTAACTATGTCAACAACACATTTGATATTATCTTTTCCAGTACAGTTTGAAATGTCAAGCAGTACAATTACTGAAGTCTCAAACAAGAGGATTAACAACATAAGCACTGACAGTTCTATTCCTTTACCAGTGGTATATTGAAAGATGGGCATAGCACAGGATATAAGGACAAGCGGAAATACCAACACTAATGAGCGAGTAAATACATATACATGTACTTATTTTGTGTAGAAATTTTAAAGTGATTCCAATCAAAATTGAATTTTTTATGATTTGAAGTTTTTACATTCTGCTGCAATTTTGTGTTTAAATTTAAAAGTATAAAGAACAAGAATATCAGAACACTAACAAACAAAAATGGGAGAAGACAAAAGAATTATTATTATAATATTGGTTAGATAAAGAGATACACAAAATATATTAAAATATCAACTAAAATGTAGCAGTAATAATTAAAATATCAAAAACACAAACAATTTAATGAAATCTTTATACTAAAATAATAGAAAACTAACTAAAAGCAGCAGTAATAATTAGAATATCAAAAATACAAACAATTAATCAAATCTTCATCCTTTTCAATGACTCTATTACTTGAGCCATAGTAGGACGAGCTCTAGGATTAGCATTAAGTCCTCTTTGTATGAGAGACTTCATATCAGACCAGGAGACACTACCAGATTGTACTTCTCTCTCTGCTGTCGTCATTTCTGGGGGAGAACACAAATTCATTTCCATAAGGAGAACAGAGTAACTGTAGACATCCATTGCTGGACTGTGTTGATCAGGAATAGGAGCTTCTGGTGCAGCATATGCAACATTGCCTGGCATAACAGTACCAGTACTGTCAACTTGTACTAATTTAGCTGTACCATAATCAGCTACTTTAGCTTCATAACCAGCAGGTCCAGTGCAAGGCTTTAATAATACGTTAGGACTGCTCACATCTCTGTGAATAATAGGTTGGGGCTTAAACAGGTGAAGGTAGTTGAGGCCTAAAGCTACATCTTGAGCAATACTCAGAATCTGTTGATTGGTTAATTGGTTTCTGCGAAGCTCCTGATTAAGACTAGTGCTCAGCAGCTCAGTCAAGATGAGAGGATTACCCACTTTAGTTGCACCAATAAACTGGACCAGGTTAGGATGACGTACTCGTGATGCTATACTCATTTCCCTGGAGAAGAGACCTCGATTGTAATTTGAGATGATGATGTTATGAAGTGACTTGACAGCTACTCTTAAACCTCTAAAGATACCAACTGTAACAACAGCATAAGATCCTCTTCCTAACTCCTCCTTTGTCAAAGTCACCTCATCTTTATTAATAGCCCAGTGATCATCAGTAAGTGCTTGTTGCTGGTACCTACAAACTACCTCTTGAGACTGACGTAGCTCCCTATCCTTCTCCTGTAGCTCCCTATCCTTCTCAAGTATCACAGAATCCTTCTGTCGTAATGTCTCCTCTTTCTCCTGTAGTACTATCTGATGCTCTCCATCCTTCTGCTGTATTAATAGATCCTTCTCCTGAAGTACTGCCTGATGACCTATATCTTTCTCCTGTACCTCCTTATCCTTTTCAAGTATCACAATATCCTTTTGCTGTAGTGCCTCCTCTTTCTCCTGTAGCTGTCTATCCTTACCCTGTAGTACCACCTGATGCTCTCTAATCTTCTGAAGTAGCTCCCTATTCTTCTCCTGTAGCTTTCTATCCTTCTGTTGTAACAATAGATCCTTCTCCTGTAGCTTTCTATCCTTCTGTTGTATCAATAGATCCTTCTCCTGCAGTACCACCTGATGCTCCCTATCCTTCTCGTATAGCTGATGACGATATCTTCTTATTTTTTGATCTTTCTTTGCTTCTTCTCTTTCCTTCTGCTCCAATTGTTGATGATAAACTTGTGCTTCTCTCTCCTTTTCTTTCTCCTTCTCTTTAAGACTCTTCATAAGAGCTTGTACGGTTTGCTCAATTTCGGCTGTATCTCCTTTTCTTGGTTTCTGGTACTCCTCCAACCATATTCTTCTTCCTGTCTGTAGTTGCTGCTGATACTTCTTCTTGTATTCTTCATTACTCATACCATTGGTATCTAATGTATCACCTACTGTCCATTCTCCTTTACTGTTAGTAACTAAAATACAATATTAAAAATAATTTTAATTAGAGGGTACGTCAAAGGATATAGTTATAATTGGGGTGAGCCTGAGCGAGCCCCACATAAACAAGACGAGTATGTGTGCTTGTTTGTTTGTTAGTACACGTACGTCACCCCTATTTATCTGTATGAAAAATTTTCTACTTTTTAACAAACTTGATATTTCATTAAAAATGGGTGTGGTCACAGTGAAATAAAATGGCGGCCCAGTATCATAACTGGAAATTCAGGCTTGCAAGACTAATTCGACTGTAGTGTACTGCTATCCAAATGCAGCAAGGAAGGTTAAGAAAGCAGACATGCCATGTTCTTCATTGATGTAAATAACTCTGATGAAGTGAATGTCAGTCACAGCCTGCATGAGCCTGAAGTTGAACTAACTTCATGAACTTAGAGCATGCAAGAAGCCAAAAACTACATTCCTACAGTTGCCCTATCTAGCTTTATCATTTGTGCAATGACTGCTTATAGCTAACTTTAATGCTTGCTAAATGCTATAAGCAAGGTAGCTTTAATTGTTGTAGAGAATTAAAGGTAGATTATCATCAAGAACTACTCCCATAATTCCATGAGCTCTGAGCCTGCTTAGTTGCACCACTCTAATATCTATTGCATAATCATGCTTTAGTATTGTATGTTAGTCTGTCAAGATCTATTGTATGTACATTGCTTTGCTTGCTTAGGCTCATCCCTTTAATGTTTTACATTCATCTAGTTATATTATAATTAATAATATACATTGGTAGGCGTGGCTAATACAAACCTAGTTCAGTTAACATAACAGTGTAAGGATTAGTGACTAATGTCCATCTCAAATACCCTCCAGCAGTTATTATCCAGATGCAATGAGGACTCATAATGAACACTGAGAGAGAATGACCCCATCTCTTACTAACAGAGTGAGGTACATCTAACTGTTAATAGAAATAAATTAATAATTTACATGTATCTCACTGTACAGATCAATCATTAATAGGGTTGGGCAATATCAAACAACTAATTATTGTCAATAATTACATGTACTAACTCAACAATGAAGATTAAATTAATCAACTAAATTACTAATAAATTGTTTACAATAAATTTTCAGACATTTCTTGAAAGAAAAGTAAGCATATTTACTTGTTCCGGTTTGAGGGTTGCCCTCAATGGAGTGACAATCTGTGACAACAAGGCACGTGCCGAATACCATATATGTAAATGGTAAATAAACGGTATTTTTATTGGATACTCAATATTATATTATTGTCAATAATTGTTTCTTAGCAATATTTTATAATTTCATTAATAAAAATATTGTATTGACAACTAAAATATCTAACATACCTTTATCCAGGAATGCTCAGTGATGTTAAAGATCCAACAATCATCTAATGTATCTTTATTCATATCAAACCCACCACTTATCACTAGCATAGGACAGTCTGATCCAGTTATAATAATAGCACCTGCATGAAAGTATCTACCAAAAGGCCATTGGTCTATTGCTTCGGGTTTCTTTATACACTGCCAGAGCTAAAAATAAAATAACCACACCTATTAACTATGACATGTATGTGTGTGTGTGCATACATTCAGTACACATAATTTAACATACCACAGTGCTGATTGATATTTCTAATATATAAATGTTGTTAGTAGCAGTTTCCTTATCATCATTAGTCTCTCGTCCACCAAATAGAACAGCTCTAGTGTTGTTGATCTTTTCAATGATGAAGTAAGAAGCAGGTGGTATACACTGACCAGCGATTAAAGGATTATTCCATTTTCCTAAATTATTATTATTAACATAACTTTAAATAGTAAAATAAAATATTACTTGATGATAGATTATAAATTGAGTGCTCATTAGTACGCCATGCTCCATTAGATAACTTATATTTATAATAAGGTAGTTTTACAGCTGGTTTGGATCCATACCCTCCTATCATTAGTAAATGGTGTACTCCATCATGTTCAAATGATATCATTCCACCATAAGCTCTCCTCATAACTGGTCTAGTTGCATCAGTTGGTTCTAATTCTCTCCATTGAAGACTAACAGTATCCAGTTGTGTAATACTGTTGCGATAGCAGTCGTCGTGGCCACACCATCCCCCAAAATAATACAATTGATCATTTATTGCAGTACAGGAGTATGCTCTCACTCCTAATGGAGGAGTACCAGTAGTAGCTCTAGTGATCCATTGACCAGTTGAAGGAGTAAAGTGCTGTATATTACTAGTGATCCTTCTCTTCTCTTCACTATCATGTACTTCGGGTAAACCGTCCTCTAGTTTACCAGCCCACACATACAGTGAATCATCTACTGATACAGTGCGGTGAAAGGCTCTTCCATTTAGTTGATCTATTATATATCAATGATTGACAGTACATGATACACATTATAGTACTTACTTTTAGAACCAAACAGCCAAGCCATCAGGCCTCGGCCTGCCGGCCAGGAGGACACTCAGGACATTCGACAGAATCGAGTCAATCGACACGGCTACTCACGTGATCTACTCTGAGTGGGCGTTGTTTGTATTTGTAGGTGAGCTCAATGAAGACTGCAGTAAAAAGATATCATGGCAGAAGTCCTTCATGATATGCATCAAAATACTTGAGCTGGTATTAATGATTAGCATTCCTTCCTCTAACTATAGGTTATAGGTTAGATTTTTGCTTGTGGCTCCAGTGGAGTAAATATCTAATGGAACATGCACCAAGCCCCTGCTGGAAAGATGAAAAATCAAAATTTCAATACCAAGTTCCTGTTAAAGGTTTAAGTCCATTCAGTTAGTGTCAATATATATTGTTAACTATCATTACAGGTTGGGTAGCAATGTAGTGCTGCCTCCACGTGGCTCTGCCTGGGATCACTAGTGGCTACTACTGCTAGTGATGCTAAGAGCACTACATACAAGAAGAATATAACAAGACTGTACTAACAGTAACTAGTCATACTGAATCTTAATATTATTGTCATTGATAGGTTCAAGTTGAAATAAAGATGAAATGTCAAGTGATGTAATACTAAAGAAACAAGAGATTTATGAAGACACAAACATTGTTGACACTTCCTCTTCATTTTACTATTTAGATATTCATTAATATTTTGCTAATTTTTTAAAACAATTATTTTACATTGTGATTGAATATAATAGCGATTTACATACAGAGCACCTGTTATAAGCTAATGCTATAATTAGCCTAAATTAGCTACAAGCAAATATATACATAAATGCATGGAATAAATGCAATTACTGATGAATAACGACATTACTATGGCATTAACATGAGGCTAGCTGACATTAACTATGTCAACAACACATTTGATATTATTTTTTCCAGTACAGTTTAAAATGTCAAGCAGTACAATTACTAAAGTCTCAAACAAGAGGATTAACGACATAAGCACTGACAGTTCTATTCCTTTACCAGTGGTATATTGAAAGATGGGCATAGCACAGGATATAAGGACAAGCGGAAATACCAACACTAATGAGAGAGTAAGTACCTACATACCATATATAAATACATGTATTTATGTTGTGTAGAAATTTTGAAGTGATTCCAATCAAAATTGAATTTTTTTATGAATTTGAAGTTTTTACATTCTGCTGCAATTTTGTGTTTAAATTTAAAAGTATAAATTTTTTTATAAAAAACAAGAATATCTGAACACTAACAAACAAAAATGGGAGAAGACAAAGAATCATTATAATATTGGTTAGATAAAGAGATACACAAAATATATTAAAATATCAACTAAAATGTAGCAGTAATAATTAAAATATCAAAAACACAAACAATTTAATGAAATCTTTATACTAAAATAATAGAAAACTAACTAAAAGGCAGCAGTAATAATTAGAATAGAAAAAATTCAAACAATTAATCAAATCTTCATCCTTTTCAATGACTCTATTACTTGAGCCATAGTAGGACGAGCTCTAGGATTAGCATTAAGTCCTCTTTGTATGAGAGACTTCATATCAGACCAGGAGACACTACCAGATTGTACTTCTCTCTCTGCTGTCGTCATTTCTGGGGAAGAACACAAATTCA